CATTCATTTTGTAAGTTGTTTCATGCAGATGGACCGCTACATAGAGCCACGTTAATTTCAGTGTTTGAAGCGGTCTTCATCTTCATTAAACAACTAGTCGGATGAGCCTTAGCATTAGATGTACAGTACCTAGGTTATAAATTGCAGTGGCATAAAGTGCAAAGAGTTTGTCAAGTTAATCAGTTCAATGGAAGCAGAAGCAAATTGAATTGATATCGTTAGGTGAATCAGTGTTTGCTTATTTTGCTGCTGTAACTTTTTAGTGTTCAGGAAGGAGGCGTTACATAGCCTGCCTCTCTCATTTTGGAGCAATAGAGATAAGAAAAGCAGCTGTCATTGCACAATGCAAAAGCGAAAATGAGAAAAAACCTGTAAGAATGTTTGGAAAAGTTTAGAAGTTAGTGGGGTTTCTTACTATTTTTGCCTAAAGGTGTATCCTATTCTTTTTCCCGATTGCTACTAAAATAAGATCAAATTTGGGCTTATCTGCTGTAAGGATGCCTTTTCATAGAATCCTCACAGCACTAGAAAGTATCTGTCTGAACTTTTAAGAAGGAAAGGGCTTAATCTAATTAAGCAGTTCTGAACTTAAAGAGGATTTTTTTAACCACTAAGAGAGTTTTAAGATTCAACATTAAGCCTTTTAGTTTAAGCAAAACTAGGAAAGATTAGAAGTAGTGTTTTCTAGATACCAAAAAGAAGATGGATGGCCCAGTTAAAACAAATGCATGTCCAGTTCTTTACATCCTACAGAAGTTTACAGTGAACCCCACTCTCCTTTTATTTTGGTCTTTAATTCTAAAGATTCTTGGCGCAAACATTGCCAAAAGACTTCTCTGAAAACCTTTCTGATGTTGATATTCGTTGATGCCTTTGACATTTGACAATAACAAAATAGGCATGTCTTTATTGCTGGTTCTTTACTTTTAGAATTATGTCAGGAGCAGAATAGCGGTATGTGTTTTGTTAAAATAGATCCCTTGAGTAGAATCTAGATTGTTAGGTTGTTCTGCTTTAGCCTTTGTGAGTCGTAAGGACTGTTTAATAACTAACCTTGCATCGTTAGGATTTTTTTTCCCCAGAAGAAATCTGGAAAAGGTTAAGGAAAAATAATATGAGAACTTATGTAGTTCTCTCTATCAGTATGGGCCGTCCCATGATCTTGCAAATTACATCAGTAATATTAGTGGAACTGTAGTAAATTACTTTTGTTTTAAAAAATGATTACAGCTGTTAATGTTACAGCCTTCTTTTCTCCCTTTTCTCCTTCTGCCGTTTCCGTTGTGTCAAAAATTGGGATGCAAAGTCAGTATTTTGTGGAAAACAACCAAATCCTCTTGGCATTCAGTCTCCAGAAATAGAAATTACCGTTTCTCTTGCAGGAGAGAGAAGTTGCTCTTACAACTGCGTTCATCTTCCTCATGGAATATTGAAGCTACTAATACAACTTACTTTGTTCAGAATATATTTTTAATTAGATTGTTTAACTTGCTGGTGGACAGAACTTGGTTCTGACGCTCCTTTGCCCAAATCAGTAAAATATTCATCTTCTAGAAAATTCTAGTAAGACCCGTTTAATGTCTGTTTTGGTCATAGTTACATGTATCAAACAAGGCACTTTTTTCTGACCCTCCACATAAACAGTGTTTAATGTCATGCATGTTTGTGTTGCAATCAAAGAGGATTTGTTGTTTGTTATTGTCTAGTTTTAGCATTAATTGCACAGGGTTCTTAGCTTCCTCTTCTATTATGCAACATTAAATAATATGTATCTGACTTGGATTTTTTGGAAGGGGGAAGTTGTGAAATATGATTTTAAAATACATATTTGAGTTAACTGATGTTTCAGAACTTTTTATTAGGCCTTTTCTTAGATCCCATTAAAAATACTGTATTAGAGCTTTAAATTTAGATTGTTCACTTTGAAGATTTTATTATTTTATAGGCGTTTCAAAGCTCTAACTACAGTGAGATAACACTGTAGTTAGAGCACTGTCGCTGGAAGGAACTGTGGTGGGAAGAAGAGAGTGGAACGGAGACGTACGCTAGCACTATTAAGTAATTAACAAATAGTTTGAAATGTTTATAAATTTCACTTCCTTGTAACTTTACACACACTCATTTATCCTTATCTCCTCCCTTTTATTGACCTGTGATGCACTATCTGCAAATCCTTTTCTTTTAAATCTAACTGCTCATCATTTATGAGTGCATTCTTTGTTCCAAATCTTCCTTTTTTCCATCATGTTTCTTGCGCAATCACGTGCAAGAAGTGTCTTCAGGTAATCATCTGGAAGAAGCCCTGAATGCATGCTATAGAAATCTCTGTAGTGATGGAAGGCAGTCCTGCTATATGACCAGCCCTGCCTTAGAGGGTAGATACATGAAGGCCTGTGTGTGGCAATCACCAAGTCGTCAACTGCCATGACACCGAATATACTATTTTGTAGGCTGTATTCTGCACCTGAGCTATATGCAGCGGGGACCTGAAATATACGATGCTTCTAGCTTCTCATCTTGAAAACTTTTTGTTAAAAAATGTAAAGCCTCTGCTTACTGTGCTGTTCCTGTGTATTTTTAAGTAGCTGTTAAGGTTTCCAATGTGACTGGCAAGCTGTAACTCATTCTTATTTGCTTGGTTTGCAGCCATCAGATGCTCTGATACTGGGAAAGATAAAAAATGTGGACTGCGTGTTGTTGGCAAGGTAAATGAATATTTTAAGGGGTTTTATATTATTTGTATCTTGAAAAAAAGTAGTTTTCTCAGAAGTTTTTTCTTTTTACATTGAGTGAATTAATTTTTCACTCTGACTGCATCTTGCTCTGTGTGGTTGCTGGCAGAGCCCAGTGGGAGTCTGGACTGTTCCCCCCACAAACAAATTTGGTACCCCAGGGGTGGAGAGCATTAACGATACCATCTAGGTTTGGGAAGGAAAAATGCAGTGAAGGATCCTGCCATAATAAAAATGGCAACCCACAATATTGCCTGTTCTCGTGGTAGATAGGTGGTACCTGATAACCTCAGTAATCTGGCTGCACCCTTTGTTGGCAAATTTCCTTTGTGAAATTGGAAAATTGCCTGTTTTCAGATTCACTGTACATACAGCACCAGTGTAGCCGGTTTCAAATCATTCTGTGTGATTATTCAAATCTGTAGCTGCTACCTTTATTGCCTAGAAGGCTGCATCCCATGTAATTCTCCGTCACTGGGTTATCTGTGTTCGGATATCTCTTACTGTATGCAAAAGAGACTCTGCAAGCAGGATCTACAGAAGACTGCACAGAAATTTCATACTGGTTAATGTAACAGTAGATATCTAGGACTAATGTGCTACTAAACTCAAGAATGCTCACTGCATCTGAAAAGACATTTCGTCAGTGACTGTACAGTCATCAGCCAGGTGGGGAAAGATCAGCCTCTGCAGCAGCCTTAACAGGCTGATCACTGATATTTAATAGTCGCCACCTCATGATTATCTGCTTTTTTCATAGGCTTTTTTAACTTTTTGTGTGGGAACAGCAAGAGCAGGGCTGCTTAAGTAGGGAGGATGAGCTAGGAGCTGAAGGTGACCATAGCTCAAGCAGTGCCCTCACCAGTCAGGGTGCAGCTCACAGCATCTGGGTAGTATGGGCTATCCAGACAGGTGGTGGTTACAGGAACATTGACAGTTCTGGACAAGGCAAGGTGATGACGATTTAGGTCTGCAGTCCATCCAGGGAGTCCAGGCAGGAATAGTAGGAGTCAAGGCCAGAGACAAGGCTGCAGCGTGAGTCTGCAGTCCTTCCAGGAGACAGGGCTGGAGTCAGCACTGGAGTTGAGGCCCCAGGCATAAGCCTGAGAGCCATCCAGAAAACAGGGCTGGAGACAAGTGTACCTGCAGTGTAGCTCGGGGAGGGACTGAAGGCCCTGTCCTGAGCTTAAAGGGAGCACTTGGGCTCACAGGCACTTGGGTGCATGCCTGCAGGCCCAAGGTAAGGCTGATGAGGGCAATTAAGACCTGTTGGTGCACTAAAGACTCTGTTACTTTTTATGCCAGTACTTTTCCCTTAAACTGTCGACTGTTACCACCTCAGCAACTACACTTCTGCCTGTAGTTTTCTTATTTTGCGTGGACTTTGCTCATGTATTTTTTTTACACCTGGACACTTTTTTTTTTTTTGTTTTCTCAAATGAAATGCTGAGCCAAAGTCACATAGCCATGTTGTATCAAACTAGGCCTTGGACTGCAGACAGCTGAACCATTGGGCTGTGGATTACATCTTCATTGGGATTTATGACTGTTCACAGATGACCCCCGTGAGCTGGGTTTTGGGACTAAGATTCCTGCAACTTTACTTGGTCTTTTGGGAAAACAGCAGTCAGTGTTGCACATGAATGTCAGATTTAAAAATAAAAAATAAAGCATATATATTCTAGAACACCAACTGTAGCATGAAAAAATAAATCTGCACTCCTGCTAGCTTATCAGAAACACTGATGACAGCGTGGGAATCCTGACTGACAGTTCTTAGTCACATCAGTCAAGTTCTTTAAACCCTTTGCTCTCTGTAAAAGAACTGATTAGGATATGCGGTTCCTCCTTACCTCTCACAACGTAGGGAATAATTTTCAAACGTGTTTACTTATTATGGGTTGTTTGTGAATTGCCCTTCCTCTCAACATTTTCAGTAGTACACATGCTCTTTGATCACTGTGAAGTTATTGCAGCCCTTTTGAAAGTTTCATTTGTCCATCACGTCTATTAACTTCACTATAAGAGCCTGGGAGGTTATACTGACTTGGTTATCTGGAGTGTATGCTGCTATAACTTGCAGTATGGTTCCTCCAAAAGTAGTTTGCTTGTGGCAGTCATTGATAATGGTGGCAGCTCTGTTGCCTTAGCAGGTGGTGTGCTTGTGAAGGTGTTGAGCCTTTTAAACACTGCTTGCTTGCTTGCTACAGTGGAATAGTTTGTATACCACCCTTAGTGAACGTTATTCCACTTAGCAAACAAAACTAAGTTGTTGTATGCTACCTTGTCGCTCATAGAGGCATCAGTGCCAACCTTCTTGCTCATCCTCCTTGATACCTTCAGAAGGTGATTTCTTTGTGATTGCTGATAGGTTTTGATGCTGTCGATGCGTCTACTTGTGCTTATAGATAGATTTCCTCGCAATCTATAGTCCAGCAGCTTGTCTGCTTACTAAAGGTCTTTCAATTTATAGCCTTTCCCTGTATCCCTTCTGGTACTAAGTGTGTACAAAGAGTGTAGTCCTCAAGTGCAAATGTGGCTCTTCTGCTGGGTCATAGAGTTTTGTTCTTGTTTTGTCTTCTTTCCAGGCTGTGTTGCAGTTAGGTGATGTGGTGGCTGGCATACATTTAGTACAGCTGTTTGTCCTTTTAGGATGATGGGAAAGACTTCTTCTGTTTTCTTTCGTCCTTTTGCTCTCTTCAAATATTTTGAACATCTGGGTTGTTAAATACACCTTTAGGAAAACTTCTCCTGTAGAAAGTAAAGAAAGAGATCCTTCGCACAGAGAGAATAAAGAAAGACAACTGATAATGTTAAAAGAGACGCAGGGAAGAAGTGCAGTTGTCACTGTTTGGGCTCTTTTAGAGCGCTGGAGGTGAGCTTTTCTATATAAGTAAGGCTCTTTCTGGTGTGTTTCAGTATTTGCTTAAAGTAAGTTATGTTCACCTTCTACTTTTTATTCAATGATATGGTCATCAAAATCCCGTTACGGTTGTGGGGAACTGTGTTAGAGGGACTTAGCTTTCTAAGTGACAAAAAGATAGATGGGGATGCTTTCAAATCATTTGTCATAGTAGTCTGGGAAAACTTGAACTTATCTGGCACCTCAGCTCCTGTAATCGTCTTCCTCCACAGTCATCACCTCTGACATCTGTTCTGCATTCTCTCTCTTCCAAGACTCCCAATAAGAAAATTCCTCTGTGAATTTTCTCCTCTGGGAGCGAAAGAGACAGTGTTTTACTTTGGCGTCTCATACAGAAGGTCTTGCAGAGGGCCTCTGTCAGCATTTTTAAATCAGAGATGGTCTGAAGACAACCCTATGCTTCATGTATATAAGAGTGAAACATGGGTGTGTCTGATCATGCTTCCTTCTATTATCTTTGTGAGTACAGAAAAAATTGCCCTAAGGGTGTGAGAAGAGGATAGCTAGTTGAGAATACCACCAGTTCTTCCTAGTTGTGTCTGACAGTAGGTAGAAAATCTTAACTCTTTTGTGTCCTTCCATTGCTATAGCTAATATGGATAATGCTGTTCTGTATCTTTCTTATCCAGTGTATTTGGATACTGTCAAATATGGTATCCTGTTAACTTCCAACAAAGGGGACATAATGTTTGCTCTCTTGGTCTGAGACCACAGCAAGGATAAGACAGGTTGTAGAGTATTCCAACGTTTCTGGTTCGAGGAAGGTGATAAGGTGAGGAGGAGAAGGTTGAATACTTTTGTTTCTAGTAATAGTGCTGTAGGCACTGGAAAGGAGAGACTAATTTTTTTTTAATTGATTCCTGTTTTGTTTTTGAAATCTGGAGATTCTTTTACTTCATCTTTCCAACACTAGAGATGGAAAAAGTGTTCTTTCGAACACTACTTGAGTTTCAGCTTACCATCTGATGCAGTAGTGATGATAGAGATGAATGTGCTTTTAAGATTGAATATGTTCTGTACTAGTTAAAAAAAAGAATGCTGCAATGATACAGAGTCATTCTAAATTATGAAAGTTACGTCAGGTCACTGTAGGAGCAAAGACAAAGCTGGCAGTCCTACTATTTTCTTTGGATTGGGGATAGATTAAAACAGTGGGCTTTCCCTGTTTTTTCTTTCCCATGTTGTACCAGTCTTTCCTGGGTGGAAGGATGCAAACAGCTCTTCAAAGCAGAAAATCTAGGGAGGTGCATATATATTTTATAAATCTGTTGTATTCTGTGGATTTAATATTCACCAAGCCTGGGTTTTTGGAATCTATGAAACTGGCTCAAAAATGTAGGGGAAAAATGCATTTTATACTCTTAAGTTGCTAAAGTATGTTTGTATTGTATTTTCAAGTTTTTTTTTCATTACATCCTTGAAATGCAGAGTTTTCTTCTTAGAAAGAGGATTACAAAAATTCTTCTGAAAAAATTCATGCCTATAAATATAAACCAAATATTGAGAGACCTATTCTATAGTCAGGAAAACAGGCTAACTGCTAGTTGCTGAAGTTCCATTATCAATCTTGTGAGAGAGATTACATTTCCTGGAATTGTGTTTATCTGGGAGAGGAAAGGCAATTTCAGTCTGATTTATTTTACCCTCTTTCCACCTTTGTCTTTGCAGACATGGAAGGCATCATACAATTATGCCATCAAATGTCAATTATCGTGCAAATATCTGGGCGCTAAAACAAGAAAATTGTTCACATGTTTTAGTAACTACTGCCTGTGGTTCATTACGAGAAGAAATACAACCTGGAGATCTTGTCATGATTGACCAATTCATTGACAGGTAGGTGAGCAACACATGTTCTCTTCCTCTCCTTTTTCCTTTGGGGAGAAAAGAAGGGAAGAGGGGGATTAAACCAAGCGGTAGCAATTAATGTCAATCTCAGTTTTGTGGAATGAGGTGATAACCTCTATTCTTATGGCAAAAAAAAAAAAAGATCTTTCTATGAGGAGATGTGATAGGAAGCATGACACCCACAGATCCTTGGGCCTCAATGGGATGCACATACGAGTGCTGAGGGAGCTGGCGGATGTTACTGTCAGGCCACTCTCCATCATCTTGGAAAGGTCATGGAAAACAGGAGAGGTGCCTGAGGACTGGAAGAAAGCCAGTGTCACCCCAGTCTTCCAAAAGGACAAGAAGGAGGAGCCAGGAAACTCCAGGCCTGTCAGCCTCACCTCCTTCCCTGGAAAGGTGGTGGAACAGCTCCTGCTGGAGGTCCTCACTAAGCGTCTGGAGGACAAGAGGGTGATCAGGAGTAGTCAGCATGGATTCACCAAAGGGAAATCATGCTTGACCAATCTGATAGCCTTCTCTGATGGAATGACTGGCTGATGAGGGTAGATGAGGGCAGAGCAGGGGAAGTTGTCTGCCTGGACTTCGGCAAGGCTTCTGACAGTGTCTCCCATCACATCCTCATAGAGAAAGTCAGGAAGTGTGGGTTGGATGAGTGGAGGGTGAGGTGGCTTGAGAACTGGCTGGATGGCCGAGCTCAGAGGGTTGTGGTGAATGGCGCAGAGTCTAGTTGGAGGCCAGTAGCTCGCGGTGTCCCCCAGGGGTCAGTGCTGGGTCCAGTCTTGTTCGATGTATTCATCAGTGACCTGGAGGAAGGCACAGAGTGCACCCTCAGCAAGTTTGCTGATGATGCTAAACTGGGGGGAGTGTCTGCCACACCAGGGGGCTGTGCTGCCGTTCCGAGGGACCTGGACAGGCTGGAGAGCTGGGAGGAGAGGAACCTCCTGAAGTTCAACAAAGGCAAGGGCAGGGTCCTGCACCTAGGGAGGAATAACCCCATGCCCCAGGACAGGCTGGGGGCTGACCTGCTGGAGAGTAGCTCTGCCGAGAAGGACCTGGGAGTGCTGGTGGACAGCAAGTTAAGCATGAGGCAGCAGGGTGCCCTTGTGGCCAAGAAGGCCAATGGGATCCTGGGATGCATTAGGCAGAGTGTTGCCAGGAGGTCAGGGGAGGTGATCCTGCCCCTCTCCTCAGCCCTGGGGAGGCCTCACCTGGAGTGCTGTGTCCAATTCTGGGCTGCCCAGGACAAGAGAGACATGGCACTCCTGGAGAGAGTCCAGCGGAGGGCTGCGAAGGTGATTAGGGGACTGGAGCATCTCTGCTCTGAAGAAAGGCTGAGAGAGCTGGGCCTGTTCAGCCTGGAGAGGAGAAGACTGAGAGGCGATCTCATCAACGTGTACAAGTATCTGAAGGGAGGGTGTCGAGAGGATGGGGCCAGTCTCTTCTCCATGGTGCCCAGCGACAGGACAAGAGGCAGTGGGCAGAAACTGAACCACAGGAAGTTCCATCTGAACCTGAGAAAAAACTTCTTTGCTGTGAGGGTGACAGAGCATTGGAACGGGTTGCCCGGGGAGGTAGTGAAGTCTCCTTCGCTGGAGATATTCAAAACCCGTCTGGATGCGATCCTGGGCAATATGCTGTAGAGGACCCTGCTTGAGCAGGGAGGTTGGACCAGATGATTTCCAGAGATTCCTTCCAACCTTGGCTGTTCTCTGATTCTGTGAATGAGATTATAACAGATACAAAGAAGATAGCAGGCTTTGAAGAAAAGCCTGAAATGATGTAAAGTACAGTTCCTTGGGAGCAGTGTTTTGGAGACAAGATCTGTCGTCCTCAGATACTACTAGGGAGGAACATGGATAAAAAGTACAGGGCACATACAGTTGTAAGAAAATCTGAAACGTGTTGGAAAGATGCAGGAAACAAGTCTGTATAGTAGGAGCTAGATAGGAAAATATATGCAGTAATAGTGAGGCTCTGCGGAAGAGGGATCTAATGTAACAAAGTGAGAGAAGAGAGAGTTGATTTAAAACAAGGAGAGATGCTACATTTTTTGATTTTTCTAAAAATAACAAGGAAGTACAGCTTTTCCGAAGAAGTCTGTTTACTGCAGGCTCTTCCCCTCTCCTTGATTATCTAATGCCTAGAAAAATCCAAGCAAACGGGAAACCCCCACAACAACATTTAAAGTCACCCAGTTACACCAAATGATTCAACAACGTAGTTGCACATTTTTATAAGTGAATTTAATATTAGTACTTATACATATACTATATAGATATAGAAGTCTTATTTGGATATTTCATCCGTTTTTAAGTATTTGAAATGGTTTACGAGGCTTCTTTGTGCTTTTAGCATGGCTACTGATAATATTTGATTGCCAGTTGAGCCTGAAGGCTTCTTTACCTAGGTTTCTTTTCTGCAGCGCTTGTACTATTCAGGTTTTGAGTTACTGAAGGTTTTTTGTCTGTAAACCACATGCTTTCTCTTGTAAGAGAGTACACTTTAAATAGAAGGTATATAAATGAGTAAGTACCCTGCAGGAACAAGCCCCATATAAACTGCTTCCTGTATTTGTGGGTTATACTGGAATTGATTTATGGGTAGAGAGTAGATATATTCCTGCCAGTGGTCCTTCTTTTGAGTCTAAAACTGTTCTGGCTGATGACTTTGTTTATACAGGCGGGATCATACTCATCTTTATTCTGTCAGTAGTACTTGGAAATTAGTAATTTTAATATCAATTGTGATTTGTGAGGAAAAAAGGTATTAAACATACTTTGGTACACAATTTGGATAACTGTGTATTTTGACAGTATTACCATGTAGCAGCCTTCTAGGTGATAGAATTGGAGCCTAGCTGTGCTAAACCAGGAATTCTAAGCACGATAAGAAGTAGCCTCGGCCCCAGACAGCCTGCGCTTTTAAGCAATAAACATTTGGGATGAAAGCAGAGTTGTTATCTGCTATGGATGAGGGGTGGAAGTACAGAGAAATGAACTCTTGCCAAGGTCAGGCAGAAAGGCATTGACAGAGACAGGAAAAGAACTCAGATGTGAAATCTCAGACCATCCTTCGTCCAAAATATCATTATCAGAATTAACAATTTATTCTGAAGATAGTTAATCATCTCCCACAGCTTTACATTTCCCAGCACTTGCGGGTCTGCATCGTAACCTCTGAGCTGGAAAGGAAATAGTCAACTGGGTTAAGTTTGGGTTTTAAGAACATGCTCCTTTTAAGGGGGGAAAAAAAAAGTTATAGAAACTATTAGTGTATACTCTAGATGCTGTCATGGACGGCTATGTGCTTTTTAGGAAAGAGAGGCCAGGAAGGCGAGGTGGTGGAGTTGGCCTTTATGAGAGGGAGCAACTGGAATGTATGGAGCTCTGCCTCGGGGTGGATGAAGAGCAAGTGGAGAGCCTATGGGTAAGGATTAGAGGGCGAGCTAACTGGGTGACACTGTTGTGGGGGTTTGCTACGGGCCACCTGACCAGGAGGAAGTCATCGATGAGGCCTTCTACCGACAGCTGGAAGTAGCCTCACGATCACAGGCCCTGGTTCTCATGGGGGACTTCAACCCCCCTGACATCTGCTGGGAAGACAGCACAGCTAGGCACAAACAGTCAAAGAGGTTCCTGCAGAGGATTGATGATAATTTCTTGACTCAGGTGGTGGAGACGCCAACGAGGAGAGGTGCAATGCTAGACCTTGTACTAATGAACAAAGAAGGTCTAGTTGGAGAGGTGAAGGTTGGGGGCAGCCTTGGCTGCAGTGACCATGAGATGGTGGAGTTCAGGATCCTACAAAGAGGAAGCAGGTCAATGAGTAGGATTGCAACGCTGGACTTCAGGAGAGCT